ACACACACACACGAACACACATAGACTTTAACAATGTCAAGTGAAAACATTCTTTGGAAGCAACAGGTTTCGCCCTAATAAGTGTTATAAAGACGCGCGTCCAGAATTGCTGTCGACTTTAGCCAGAAWWCTTTATATGTATAAACACAAACACACATATATCTATATATATAACATAGTTAATGAATTTATCAGTAATATACACCGATATACATACATATACAGTGTTTAAATACAAAGCAGAAATTGGGGAAAATAGAAAATAAGAATTTGTGTGACTGCAACCAGTTGGAACGAAAGTCGAACAAAAAATATATACATATAAAATAAAAGAAAAAACCTGAAAAGTTCTTAGAGCGCGAAATAGAAAAGAGACGAAAGAGCAAAACCTCAATATGGATTCGTTTTACGATGGCGACCTCAAAGATATATGGGACTCCGATTTAGATCCGGTAAGCGAAATGTCCAAAGCTTTATCAGCTTTTTTATATTTCATAATCAGATACGATAAGCAAACGATTTTAAATAATAGTCAGATATACATACAAACATATGTACATACATATATGTATATGTACGTACTACTTGAGTTGTTTACATAACTTTGAACTGTAGTAATAAAAATGTAAACCTCTTGACATTTGAAAAATTGTTATGTCGTCATGAAATTGCATTAACAAATCTTTTTTGAGTAAAAAAAAGCTAAATTTTTTAATGGTATGCAGCTGGAAAATCTCGCAGCACTTCATGAGTATCMCAGAGAGAGGTGGCAGTTAGAGAAAATTATTAAGAATATCAAATACATACTTGCTGCTGATCTCTAAATATACTAAGTAGTTAAAGGTTTAGCTGAAAACTAGATACCAATATATGAGAATCATATAGAGAGGCAATTTGCGTAAATTGTATTCAGTGTCATTCGCGCCTAATCAATTAGTGTAATAATATTCAGGTTTAGCAGCTGGAAACTGTGCTACCAATACTGAGAATCGCATAGAGAGATCATTAACAATACGTCAGAGTTGCTAATCTAATACCCAAAACTTGTGCAGCTAGAAAACGTGCTTACATABAGAGGTAACATTAAAATTGCGTCCAGTTTGATTTGCCCTTTCCAAATACAGAATGATCTTCGAGCCTGCATATTAAACAGTTTCTATACTTAAAGACCTGACAAAACACACACACATACACACAGAGACAGAAACCCGTCTAATAAAACCACCTAATAAAACTGTCTGCCCGTCTGTCTCTCCGGCCGTGTGTCTCTCTAAAGTGCTGAGTTCAGAGTCTTGGACAGTCACCTGGCTAAAGGCAAATCTAATCGAGTCCCACTATATCGGGCCCTAGCTATAATATACGACAGCGCACGCAGCTCGCTGATCGATACACTATTATTATTATTTGAATTTGATTTCGAATGGGAACGTGCCAAAATTGAAACAAAACGAATGTCTTGATATGATATGATATGATATATATATGGCCTGGTATACTAGGCTAGGCAAGGCAACGCTCCAAGGTTTCTCAAGATATCTCAGCTATTCTCTTGCCTTAGCATCAGAGCAAACAAATAATGCTTTAGTGATTTCTTATGTTCAAAAAGCAATAACAACAACAACCACAACAAATATCATTTACATGGGGAAGGGCGATAAGGSGCTAGGTACATAGGTAGCACTATTTCTGCTTTTACGAAAGTGTCTCTGATAATGATAATTGAAGTTTTCCAAGAAATTAAAAAACAAAATGTCTAAAGAAATTTATCATTTAGCGAGCGAGCAAAAATATCATTTCTTACCACTTGTAGTTCGAATATAATGAAATATATATGTGAATGTGTACGTGTGTGTGTGTGTGTGTGTGTATTCTTCTGCTCTTCGTTGAGCCTCATTTGTGGAGGCCTGCTTATCGCTGCGGAAACAGTAATGAATACATGTCGCCGGCCGAGGAAGCGTACATTTATGAGTACTACGACTGACTACAAGACTCCAAACCTAAAAGAATCTATTACGGCATACATACACACAGAGAGCGAGAGAGGGAGAGAGAGACGGCGTCTGTGTGAGAGGGCGGGAGCTGAGGCGCTGCAGTGATAAGACGAACTGCTGCTATCAGCTGCCCCAAATGCAAAGTAACTAATGACTTTTTTTCTGTTATTTCTTCTGCTTCTATTCAACTGCACTTTAAACTGACAAAAACGTCCGACCGTGAGTGTCATTAAAGCCGGGAGATAATGCAGCACAGTACGAAATAGGCTCATGCTAAAAAAAAGCAAGTACAGAGGACAGTGAAAGACTAACAAATACCCTAAAGACCATATAGAGCTAGCACGAAACGGAGAAAGTTTCCAAGGAACTATTCCTGACTATGGTGGGTTCTCTGGTCCAAATTGAATGACTGTTGCTCTTTCAATGTACGAGATATGTTAAAATTGGATTGATGTGCAGAAGAATCTATGAAACGACCTTGAAAATCAGCTTCTATGATGTAGCAGATCATACACTCTGGCTTATTGACATCTTAGATCGAAAAGGTTAGATTAGGCGTCACGAAAATATACAATAGGTAGATATACCTGTTGCATTCCCTTGAATGCTGCCAATATACCCCATTACAAATCACCACGCTTGCAGAGTATAAAGACAATCTAAAACACAAACAAATTCCCGGGGAAAACGCGCGTGCAGTTTTTTCCCGCCGTAAGCAGAACGCCGTTGTGAAGACCCGGGGCGTGCGCCCTCGATTACGTCAGAGACTGCAATAGGCACACACGCACATACAGATATGCATGGGTTTGTGTGCGTGTGTGTTGGTTTGTGTACTATGTCTAAGGCACAATAAATATTTATAATATATTGGCCCATACGGGACCCCCATTTGAACTTCACTTTTGGCATTATTTCTATAAAAATTTCTATAAAATTTAAATTATCATCGTCTCAAGTTGACGTTGAAAATTTTGTTGCCCGCTTTTTGGCCATGTCATATCAAAAATCTTATCACAGGCCCATTTTGTAACCAAAAAAAAGCAAAAGGAGCCAAGTGTGAGATAAGGCCAGAAATAGTTTTGATTACGCGAATACAATAAATAAGAAAATGGGATATATATATATATATATATACATGTGTATATGTTTGTATTTGTATAGTAAATAAAGCTGCATTGGGACTTTTCCGCATGTTAAGTGGCTAAAACAACAACAACAACAAAATAAGTCCAGATAATCCACCTCGTCGGAATTACTTGGCAATAAAAGTGAAAACAAGAAAAATTAACAATGAAATTCCAGAAATATTGTTTTTATTTTTGTTTTGTTTTTACTTTTAACACTTTATTGAGATTCGCTCGACTAGGGTTCATCAGCGCAATCTGTCAATAGACTGCGCGAAGGGGAAAAACCCCCTTTGGGGATTATCATTTCTGCTTGATTGAAGTGCTCGCTTATCAGAGCTGTCAGTAACTGATCGTATTCTAGTATACACACACATAGAGATTACTTCCAGTATTATTGAATAATTAGAAATATTCTGAAAAAATAATTAGCATTCTTAGTAATTACGAGACAAAATACTAAGTTAACTCGAAGTGATTTTTAAAGGTAAAACAGAAACTAGTTAAATAAATTAAATTTTTTATTTTGAATGCTATCTAAAATTGAAATAAAGAGTTGACAATTTTTGTATTTACAAATTGACTTTAAATAATATAATAAAACAAATATAGATTTATTAAATAAGTATATGCAAAATTATATTATAATTAAAGTAAATATTTAAAATTAAAATGAAATCAAAATCGAACTAAACAAAAATGGTACATACATAAATAGTAATAAATATACGTACAGATGTGTAAAAATCTGACTATGTGATAAATTATTTCATAGTGGGCTCTATCTTTAAACCCAAGCGGAACTCTAAAAAAATAGTTTTTAATTTAACTAAACAACTTTTTGGATATTGTTAGACGAAAGTTGCTTCCTTTCAAAAACTTTGGAGCACATAATGCCCATGCCCATGCCCATGCGCGTAATTCATTATAGTGGTCCACTGTTGCTTGCATTGTATTGCGAGTTGTATTGATAAGGACTTAGACATATTGCTGCTGGATGCTAAAACGAAATTCTATTTTAACATTTCGTTCAACGATAAGGCCGTACATGTGTTGCTTGGAAACAAAAACGTTACGCTAGACAGCATTCCAAATTAATCTTATATATGAATATACATTCATGTATATGAAGATATGGATGTAGATGTAGGCGTAGATGCATACATACATTGTACTAGACTCTTTAGACACAGACGAATGCTACTACAAAAGGGTTGTTCACTTCTATGGAAAGTGGTACCATAGGTACTATATAACATATAATGTATAGCTTATATATACAGAAATTTATTATTTTAGGGCAATTTATGCTAGAGTCTGTTGTTAAATAATGCTGACAAGATAAAGATTGTAAAGACTGTTTATCGACTGTTAATACTTAATACTTAAATAATTAAATAATTGAATAGCTCAAGATTTGTTATCCATTGTTTGTCTAGTGAGTCGCACTGATTGCCCGTCTGTTCTATAAAACGGTAAAACCATTAAGATATTTTCATTTATCGAGCGTTCACCTTATGAATCACATTAACGGCTGTTCTCAATAAGAAACCAATAGAAACTAACTGTAGATATTTAAATAAAGGTATTCTGATAGTGCTCCTATTGAATCAAATATACTCCCTCAGTTTTCTACGCAAGAGCTCTGTAAGACTAGATTATCTATAGGATAGGGAACGAAACTATCTGCTTATCTATATTAAATATAGTAACTTGGCCGAACTTAGCTGCCTTTAAGGTCAGGTTTCAGCTCATTTAACAAATAAGAAATGAAAGAAATTTCGAGTTGAAAGCACAGTTGCAGCCAAAATCTACAAAGAAGAAGAAAATACTAAGTGAAGACGTTTCAGCATTCAATTAGCCAAGACTAGACTTGGTCTACAATTTCTTCCTCATTTTCTTAGCTTTTTTTTTTGACATTTTTTGGTAACATGCAGAAATAAAAACTAAAGAAATACAGAAAAATTATTACCTTGGCTTGACGAAAGCTTACAGCCAACAGAAAAAAGGCAATCGCCTTCACAAAAGAATGCTGACAAAAAAAAAAAAAAAAGTAGTAGAAGAAGAAGACAAAAAGCTGAAGCACAGACGAAAACTGTGAAGTTTTTTTTCATAAACCGTTGAGCGGGGCAAAATTGGTAAGACCAAAAGTCAAGTCGAGAAGAAAATTGCAGCATTAACAAACAAGTTCAAGTTAATAAGTCAGCAAGTTTATTTAAACACAGAGCTTACCATTATATACATACAAACAATTATAATTGTTGTGTGTGTTTTTGATACAACTTTCGCTGATATAAGCAAAAAGATGGTAACAAATTTTTGCTAGCTCTATGAGCG